GAGTTTCTGGGTGATGACAAAAATTGGAAATAGACAGTGGTGATGCTTGCGCCACATGGCACCATTAATTCATGTCACTGGGTTATATGTGTTTAAAAGAAGACAAAGTAATACTTTCCAAAATATTTCTTGAAACCAACATTATCCTAATGCCCAAACCAAACCAGGGAAAGACATTAAAAGGAGAATGAGAGGGCAAAGTCCTTCATGAACATGTGTTCCAAATTAAGAGAATTTTATATCAACTCCAATGGTACATTAAAAAAAACTACATAGGAAGGTGGAATTTGCCCAAGAAAGTTAGGTTGGTTTTAACATTTTAAAAAACCAGCATGATTTACCATGTTATCGGACTAAAAGAGATAGACCACATGATTTCAATTAGATTAAAAATAATAGTAGCGATTCAACAGCCACTGCTGATTTTTTTCAAAACCCACAAAAATAAGCAAGCAAACAAAGAAAACAGAAAATTTCTCAGCAAAGAATAGGAGAGAACTTAATCAATGTGATTTAAACAAAACACACACAAAACCAAAAAAACCCTACATCTACCAAACTATGCTTAAGGGTAAAAAACGGAAGGCTTCCCACTGAGATCAGGAATCAGTGTAATTAATACTAGAGGCTCTATGTCTTGTAGTAAGATCAGCAAAAGGGGGCAGGGTGAGCTTTCAGATTGGGAAGAAAGAAATAAAGCTGTCCTTGTTTGTAGAGAATCGAGTTTACTGAATCAAAAAGGGAAAGATGGAGGAGACTGCACGTCCTACCACTAAGTCTAACTACATGTCCTGGACATTATATATGTAACAATCATAAGGAGGACTCTGATAGAAAAGGGCAGACTGAAGAGGGACCTCAAGATTTGAAGAATGGCATGATGACTTAGCTGAATCTTTATTTTAAAGGCCCATTGTACAATCAACATCACAATGAGCTGGAGAACATTTTCTTCTTCCTTGTGCTTCTTTTTATTAGCTCCCCATTTACCTTCAACTTCCCCTGCCATGTCCCCTAGAGACCATTAATTCAGGTGCTGTCTATAGATTCGCCCATCCTGAATTTCACATACCAAAACACATTTAAAGACAAACAAAAAAGCCAATACAAAAACAAAATAATATCGTCATAAACCTCATTTGAAAAGAACGAAGAAAATATTAAAAATGAGAACAACTTTAAAATGGGTCAAAAAGGATATCGAATGATATGGTGTTAGATTTTAATCTATGTACATCTGTCAAAATCCACTTTACAATGCGTTCTGAATGATATCAAGGCTATTCACATCTCTGGTCTATGTTCAGAGGCTATTGCCAGAAGATTAATTCACATGTATTTTTCCTTTACTTTTTTTTTAAACTGATAGAACTTTTAAATGGGTCAGAAGGGGATCAAATAAGAGGTTTATTTTCACCTTACTATATCCACTATAATTCTATCTACAATACTCTGTTGGATAACAAACCTATTTATATCCAACTGTGATCAGAGGAGATTCATCAGAGATTTAATCTATGTGTGGATAGGCAAATGGATTTTGGGTTTTGAATGTCATTCATAGCCTTCTGCCAACTAGGTGTTCACAATTTAAGCTCTGATACCATTCCCTTCTTTGGATTTGGATTTTATTATTTACAATCCTTGTATCACACAGGCTGGTCTGTTTCTTTCGTGTGGACTTGGTTGACACTTCACGTAGATGGCTGCTTGTTTGAAGAGACGTCTTTAAGACCCCAGACACTGTTCTTTCTGATAGCTGGGCACCATCTAGTTTCTTCACCATACTTTCCAATAGCACTTATACCATCATTGATCTCTTTATGAGGGTAAGTATCAAACAGAGCCATGTCATAAGAACTAATTGTACTTAGATTGGGGTTATAATTACATGTGAGTCCAAGATCCATTCATATATCTATGATTTGTATAAGTCTCTGGTTCACCTTAGAGACATCATTGTAATTTTATGTTAGAAAACATTATCAATCATCTCCCTGAGACATCAGATAATTCTGTTGATAGTGTCATTAATTTAGCTGATGGTATAGAATTTAAAACACAGTTGAGAAAAGGATATTATACATATATAAACTGGCTACAACCTGCAATACATGATTAATGTGCACAGATTAAACTCTTAAGTGACTGGGTACTATTTACATAGGTGTGTCAGTCTGGGTAAACTAGGGAAACAAGTCCACAGAAATTCATATGTATAAGAGAGAGTTTTATATAAAGGATAAGTGTGCAACAAGAAAACATCCCCACCCAGTGCTGCCCAAGCCCATTAGCCCATATGTCCGACACCAATCCACAAAGTCCTCCTCCATCTCACAAAACACACACAATGACGCTGACTGCAGGAGGAAAGCCAAATCAGTGAACGTGTAAGCATCTCAGCGCAGCCAGGGGTCTCCACATGGGTGCTCCAGCACCCAGGGATGCATCAGGGTAGGTCCCTGTGACTTCTCCTCAGGGATGTGAGGAAGCGAGCCTTGCCAGATGAAGCAGGAACTGGGTAAGGCAGCTGCACTCTGGTCCGACCATCACAAAACAAGAGACCCGAGAACTAGAAAGGCGAGGCTCACTGAGCCATTTATCTCTCCACCCTTCAATTAATCCCACATGTGCTTATCGGCCAGGTTGGCACAATAAACTTTAATTATCTCAGTGGGGTTTGGCGAAAAGGCAAAACCAGGCCTACCGGATAAATACATTTCTTTTTAAAATTTTTGCACAGAGAGCAAGTTTATTTGGTGACTGCTGCTGGAGACAAGATGGGAGAGATGCTGTGACAGTGAGGAGGCCTTTGGAACGGCATTCGGTTAGTCTTACATGGGAAAAGGCACTGGGCTCTGGGGCCACGGGAAGGGCTGCCCTCAGTTGCTCAGCACCATCAGGAAGGGCTCGTCCTAGTTGGTACACCCATGACTGTCCTTGGGGCCCCGTCACCAGCATCTCTACTTCTTCCTCCGTCATCTCCTCGTCCAATGTGACAAGGGCATGCCGGATTTCAGCCCCCATGACGGTGCCGTTCCCTTCCTTGTCAAACACCCGAAGGCTTTCAGTGTGGCTCCCGTAGGTACCCTAGTCCTTGTTCTTGGCCGCAGTCTGCAGCACGGGCAGGAAGGGCTCAAAGTCCAGCCCCTTCCCATTCATCTCATCACTCTTGGGGTTCCCCAGCACCTTGAGCATCTCGCGTTGGTGGGGTGCTGGCCCAGGGCCCTCATCACGTCCCCACCCTGGCTGACAGGATCTTGCCATCACCCATTGGGTCAAACAGCTGGAAGGCCTCCTTGAACTCCGTGGTCTGGTCCTCGGTGAAGTCACACATCTTGACTGCTCAGGCTCCGGCACCTTTTCCTGCAGTAATGGCGAATACATATCTTCCTAAAGCAAGGAGGACGTTAAAATAGTGGTAGTCCTGGGCCACCATTCATTGGGCACCCTCAAGACAAGAGAACTGAGCCAAAGTCTAAGGACCCCCAGTTCTATACCCTTGGTGTAGCAGCCATCTGTCACACTGTGAAGTTCCTTCCCCCCTTAAGTCCAAGGGCTACAGGTAAGTTTGAGGCAGAGCCTCTTTAGTGGGATTTCCACAGCAAGTCTTTCTGAACACCCTCACGTTTAACCTCTCTGTTGCTTTCCATTTAAGATGGTTTACTGCAGTCACCAGAGAGTTAGATCTTACTTTTTAAATCCAAGCTAACATTTTCTGCTCTTATAGATTTTAAACAATTGACTTTTAATTTAATTAGCAACAGGACTAAGTTCAAGTGTGTTGTTTTATCCATTTTTCTTTGTTGTTTCTTTTCTATTCTTCCTGCCTTCGTTGGCACGCTTTTTTTTTTTTTTCAAATTCCAGTCTATTCCCTCTGTTGGATTATTCTACCTTTTTTGGCGGTTGTTCTAAGATTCATGTTATATATATTCAAGTTATTATAGTGTACCTCTAAATAATATTTCACTCCATGTACAAAAATCTTACAGCAACATATGTCTATGTCAAATATTTTAGCTTTACATATGTTATAAACTCCAAAGTATATTGTTATTGTTTGGCTCTGGGCAGGTAATTGTATTTTATTTATTTTTTTTTTTCACTGTCATTGAGTCTATTCTGACTCCTAGTAACCCGACAAGACAGCGTAGAACTTCTCCTATGAGTTCCAAGACTGTAACTCTTCATAGGAGTAAAAAACATCCTTTACCCCACCCCCCACCCCCCAGGGTCTGGTGGTTTTGAACTGCTGACCTTGGGGCTAGCTTGTAGTAGCTTCTGTCAAGATGACTGCCTTAGAAACCCGCCGGGTGGGTGTCAGTTCTGCTCTGAGTCCAGCGGTCTCAATGGGGGCAGGCTGGTGTTTGGTTTGGGGAAAGCAAAATGCACATTGGATTTTGGGAACTTGCAAGGCATCGAAGGTGTAAGGCTTTGCCCTAGTCTTAGGTTGATGTGTAATGAAGTGGCAATGCGGTGGGTGGGTGTTGTACCTCGCTACATATGGAGGCAGTGGCAAAAATCCCGCCTTGCGTGTGGAAGGACCAGGTTAGGCGCCCAGCCAAGCCACCTCAGGTGGAGCTGCAGGCTTGTGTGCTGTTGTGGAGTTGAACAGCCTTAGCTCTTCAGCTAAGAGGAGGAAGAAAGGCCTGGTGGTGGACTTTGAAAAGTCAGCCAGTGGACGTCACGATGGTCCAGTCCACAGCCAATCATGGGGTCACTGTGAATCGGGGATCAACTGATGGCAGCTTGAAACAACACAGCGAAGGGACACCTGTGACTCCTAGGCCCCTCCCTCTGGCAGGGAGCAGTCCCCGGGGAGGGGTGGTGGTGATTCTGAGGATGGAGAGCCAGGTTTGGGGGTGGGGGGGGGGCAGGCAGCCTCGGTGAGCCCTGAGGCCTTCTCTTGCACCAAGCTGCTGAGACAGCCCCCGAAAGGGAGCTGAGAATTTGACGTTGGTGTCTCCCTCCAGAATCCGGAAGAGATGGCCCTGTTCTCCCCTGGGTTGCCAAGCAACAGTGAAGGCCTGAAGCTGAGCTCTGCGCAGTGCACCTGAAGCAGCGAGGGGGACCAGGTAAGAGGCACCCTTGGGCGTGCGTGCCCACACGGCCACCACTCCCCCAGCAGTGCCAGGCCTCATTGAACGTCTTGTCTTCGACGCGCCAGGCACCGTCCCAAGGTTGCTCTCCACATTGGATGGAAACGGGGAGGGGCCACACCCCAGGTCTAATCACACCAGTCCTAGTAGGAAAATAGAGGTCGGTACCCGGAGCACTTCCCCTGAGTGCAGCAGCACCCACTGCCCCCAGGGCCATCAGAAAGTCCAGAAGCCTGTGTGAGAATGTGCCCAAGTGGAGTGGGAACAGCCATCCAGAGAGTTAGTTCCCAGCTCACAGGGCCTCCATGGCACACTGGGGATTCTGAGACCCACACAGGAGGCTGACCCCCAGGAGCAGCCAGCGGGCTGCGGCTGGAGGATGCCTGCTCTCACCAGCCCTTGAACTACTCAAGAAGAGGCGGATGGGGAGCCAGCTCACAGATGCACCTCAAGGATGGGCTGCGGGGGTGAGGTAGGGGGAGGGGAGGGCCCCGAGGTGCAAATCACCTGCCCAAGGTCACCTGCCAGGCCTCCCCGAGTGGCAATGAGAAGCTGTCCATCTTGGAGAAGAGTCTACATGAATAATCCTCCAAGCCTCTCGCTCAGTGTGATTATACCGGTGTGATTATACGGCTGCAGGCGCTCCTTCATCTTGTGTCTGTTCCTGTGGACTCTGAGTACCAACCAGCCGGCTCTCGGCAGCCCTGGGCCTGGGAGGGAATCCGCAAACAGTCAAACGCTTGCCTGGGCTCTGGGACGTTGGGGGTCCTGGCTCTTTGTGTGGGAACTCCACAGCTCTGGGCCACCCTGCCCCATCCCCAGACCCCAGAGGCCTTTCATCCCCCGCACCTTCCTGTGGTGCCTAGCCGGGCTCTGGGACAACGTGCTTAAGACCCGTCTGCTAAGAGTCCGTTTCCATGTGCAATTTCAGATGGCTCTAGGAGCAGGGCAAAGAGAAGGGCGGAATTAATATACATTCGGTGACCTTGCCATCCAGTTGAGGACAACTGTCCCCATAAGACAGAGTGGAACGGCTCCTTAGGTCCTGAGACGGTACAGCTTTACTGGAGGGAGTGGACAGCCTCTTTTCCTGGCACGGCCTGTCGTGGGCTCAAACCACCCCATCTTGCACGTAGCGCCATGCTTAACCTAGGACGCCACCAGGGCTCCAGTGTATCGGAGTGGGACATGAGAGTGAGCCCCTGGCCCCATGATTGTGTTTTATTAGAATAGGTCAAGATTAAAAACTTCCACCCTGGGACTCATAAATGTGTTCTCACTACGAAAACATAACATTCCCGGGACCTGTGCATTATGAGGTCTCTCCACAAGGAACGAATGGAAGTATAAACTTCTTTTCAGACTTGTGTGATCTCTGGGAATTTTTCAGACTATTGCCTGTGGTGGTATCTCCTCCCCGTCACAAGTTGTTTCTTCTCACGGAAATCCCTAACTCAGTAAAACCATCAGGCTTGGATTTAGTCTCTTCTCTCTGGACTGGAGCCTGGTTAGTGTCCTCGCCCGAAAGCTGGGGGAAGGTGTATTTCCCTTGTTTTTTTGAGATGCCTGTGGTATGTTATTCAGTGTGAGAACATTGTTTCACATACTTTAAAATTTTTCAATAAAACTTGTTTATGAGGATAGGGCAAGAAGTGGAATTGTGCTTAAAAGCTTAAAGTGGGGGGGGGGAATCCAAGATTTCTGTTTTATTATCCCCTTTATATCAGGGAGCCCTAGTGGCAAAGTTATGCACCAGTCCACCAGACCCTCCACAGGAGACAGGTGAGTCTGCTTCCATGAGGATTTGGAAACCTTTTGGAACAGGTCCACTCTGTTCTATAAGGGTCACTAGGAGTGGGAATCAATCTGATAAACAATGGGGTCTGGGTTGGTTTATAGGTTTGTAGATTCAAATTACTTTATATCCTTACTCCCAGGTATCCTAACCCTTCTTCTAAGAAGTTTCTCCTTTTCTCCTTTGACTATTCATCAGTAATGCTATTTACTATTACATCTCTCTGTAAACCTGCTTTCTCAAAATATCTGATTCGTTCTTAGTAGTTTGTTTTGCCTCTTCAGTTCATTTTGCCCAATCTCCCAGTTGCCCAGCTTGCCGGGTTGCTCAAAGACATGCAAGCATCTTACGAAAATCTAGCATCTTCTCGGAATACATCGAGAAGTTCTCAATGGTCCCTGCAACCATTTTTCTTCCCAGCATGCATTTGAAAGACTGGCATTAGAGATGCTGAACAGATCTAACTCAGTAAGGTAAAACAGATCTGGACAAGTCACTTAGATCATCCTCCTGTCATTAGTTAAGTATATGTCTAAACAACCCTGGTCAAATATCGCTTGAGGTTAGTTTTATGTATCCCCCTGGCTGGAAGCTAGTACATACTTACTTAATCACTAATCTGGACATTAAAGGTCTTTTGTAGATGTGGTTCACATTCATAATCAATTGGCTCCTTAAGTAAAAACTATCTTCCAGGATGTGAGGGGTTGCAATCAGTTGCATCCAGTTGAATGGCTTCAAGAACAAAATCAAGGTTTCTCTGAGAAAGAAGAAATTCTGTCTGGAGAATTTCTACACTGTCAGCTCTTGCTTGAGAGTTTTCAGACTGATGCTACCGATTTCAAACTTATCACGAACAATTGTGAGTAAATTAATGCCTTGGAAGAAACCACACGTACAAATTGGGCTTTAAAAAAGTTCGTGGGAAAGTGCCATTATTTTTAATTCCGTTTTCCCCTGAACTTTTTGAAGTTCCCTCATACACCTACTGTTTCACTATACAGCCTGGGCTCATATAATCGCTATTTTAAAGATTAAATTTCTTCCTCTTGCATCCTACCCTAAATAAAATGCTAATTGCCTGGGAGGATGCTTCCTAATGACTAGGCGCATTTCTGCTTTTTTAAGCTATTTGTTTTTCCCCCCATTCTGTTTTTGTCTCTTGGATGGGTCTTTTGTACTCTGACTCCACCTACCGGATATAGGCTGAAATAACAATGAGTTTCTTCATCAGCTCACTTGCAAGCACACCAAAATCATTGCCGTCAAAGAGAATGCCACTTACAGTGAGTGACCCTGTAAGGCAGAGGAGAATGGCTCCGTAGGGTTTTGGAGGCTGTAAATATTCACGAAGCAGGCTGCCTCATCTGCAGAGCGGTTGGATGGTATGAACCCCTGACCTTTCGATTAGCAGCCACTGTGCCTCTCGGATTCCTTCGCTTCCTTCTACTTCCAAGAAAATGGATTTTATTATCATTGCTAGAGAGAGGCAACTCTACAAAATTAGTGCAATTCTTTGGATTTTTCAGCATAATCTAATCTTGCCCCATCAAGTTTCCACCAAATCTGTCCTAAAACTCTAACAAAGCCAAACAAAATCGCAAAACCTTTTTAGAGACACATGCTTGGAATGTATGCAGAATCCTATGGTGATAAGTTATTAAAGTTACCAAAAGTTACTTTCGTCTGCTAACTTTTCAGTCATTAAAGAAATGGAAGAAGTTCAAGACACATTCCACACAAACATCTAATTGATATTTGACAATAGCTCAGTGCTGAATTTATAAAAGTCCATGTAACTGCATAATTAATAGTTGCTCAGGGAATTACTATTAACATCTTAATTGATAACAGTCTGGTTTGGATTGATGCCAACTTCATTTCAATAGTATATTAAAAACTTTGTTCCCCTATCATTTTATGCTGCTATTGTCTAAAATTATATCTGTGTATCTATGAGTGTATCCATCAATATCAACTTATTATTTATTCATTATGCAACTTTTTAAAAGTTAGGAGAAAAGAGGGTGGAGTTACAAATAAAACATATATTTTATTTTATGTTTACTAAGTATTTACTTTTACCAGTATGCTTTATTACTTTATATGAACTTTTTGGGTCATGTAGTCACTTTTAAAACCATTTGAGGTAGAATTCACATACCACACAATGCACACATTTACAGCATACAAGTCAGTGGCTTTTTGTATAGTCACAGAACTGGACCACTATCACAACAGTCCACTCCAAAGCATTTCACCGTCACTCAGAGTCACCCCATTCCCATCAGCAGTCACTTCCTATTTTTCCTCAACCTCCAGGCTTAGACGACCACTCATCTCCCTTCAGTCTCTTCAGATTTGTCCACTCCGGCCATTTCACATAAGTAACATCATGCAATATGTAATCTTTTGTGACTGGCTTCTTTTGTATAGCAGGATGCTAGTAGATTTTTCCATGTTGCAAAATGTATTCCATCTCTTTTTATTGTCAAATAATAGCTAATTGTGTAGTTACACTGTGTTTTGTTTATTCACTTTTTAGCTGATGGTCATCTGAGTGGCTTCTACTTTGGGGCTATTATGACTCTGCTATTAGGAATACTTGTGCACAAGGTGCTGTGTGACACACGTCTTCCACATCCTTCGGGTATATTCTTTGGGGCAGAACCACTGGGTTGTATGTCAATACCTGTGTTTTGAGAAATTGCCACACTGTTTTCCAAATTGGCTATAAAGTTTTACATTCTCCTCCACAGTATATAGAATCTGAACATTCTAATTTCTCTGCATCCTCACCAACACTTGTTATTTGTCCTGGCACGTGGCCGCATTAGTTGGTATGAAGCGGTGTCTCACTCTGGGTTTGTTTTGCATTTCCCTGGGGGTTACTGATGTTGAGGCTCTTAGTGATGTATGTATTAGTGATTTGGATTCTTCTTTGGACATATGATGATTCGACTCTGTTGCCTGTTTGAAATACTGAGCCATTTATCAGCCAGTATGACCCTGTGCGTTTAGCACGGATCCTTTTTAGGAGTTTCGGGAAGTTCCCTTCTACTCCTGACTGGCTCATGTGTTTTGCCAACATTTGGTGGCATAGTGGATTATACGTTCGGCTGCTAGCTATAAGTTTGAAAACCACCAGCTGCTCCAACTAGGAAAGATGAGGCTTTCTACT